AATCACAAAAATGTTAGCTTACCAAGTTCTCATTAATTAAGTGGATCTTCACCATTCAGGGTGAATATTTTGTTTTAGGCCATAGAAGCCATTGTATTCTGTATTATCATGTATGGATGTGAGAGCTGGACAATTAAGAAAGAAGATACGAAGAAAATCCATTCATTTGAGATGTGCTGCTGGAAAAGAGTGCTGAGGATTCCATGGATAGCCAAAAAAACAAACAAATGGATCATAGAGCAGATCAAGCCAGAAATCTCCCTGGAAGCCGGGATGGCAAAACTGGGTCTGTCCTAGGAGTTTATCACATTAAAAAAAAAAATAAATCTGGTTTATCCCTGATCGGATACAGCCACTTTTCGGATTATTACCTGATTTTATTGCACAAAAATCACTGCCGATTCCGCTGTATGCAGCCCAGGTCCCAGCTGTGCTCACCAGCCACTTGTCAAAAATGGAAGCTTCCTGTCTTTGAAATGTGGATGGCTGAGCATGGCTGGGTCCTGGGTTGCATGCAGGTTTCAGTCGCCCGGCAGCATCAGCTGTGATTTTCATGCAATAACATCAGGTAATAATCCAAAACGTCGCTGCATCCTGTCAGGGATAAGTGATGGTTTTTTAAATGTGATAAACTCCCTACTTTAGACACATCATGAGAATGCATGACTCACTGGAAAAAAAGAATGATGCTCAGAAAGGTGGAGGGAAGCAGAAAGAGATGAGTGTCCAATGCTAGATGGGTGGACCTTCTTAAGGAGGTCATGGGTATGAATTTACAGGAACTAAGCAGAGCAGTGGAAGACAGGGAGTCTTGGGACGTTATCACACGTGGCCCAGAAACAGAAAATAAAGTGGAAATGAGGCATCCCGAAAATAAACAGGAAATAAACCTTGTTTCTGCAAACGTCATTACCTTCATTGCGAATTTACAGTAAGTGCATTGAATGTCCACACACAAGAGAAAAAAACCCGTAAATGTAGTAGAAATGAGCCTCTTGCACATGCGCAGATAGAGGAATGCTCGCTGGAACCATGGCAACAGCAGGGAAATGCTCCCCAATGCACATTTGGCGATCACATTAAGGTAAATACGTAATTACCGTAACTACATATTTGCATTTTCTCCAGACAACTGGATTACAAAAGATCGCATTTAACACCAGTTTCTGTCCACTTTCTGTCCAGTTTCTGTGCGATGTCGTGTGAAAACACGGGGCACTAATCCAGTTTCTGTCTGGATTTTGTGTGGATTAACCAGCAGAATAGCCCCCGTGTGATAACGTCTTTGGACATGTCTCATCCACAAGTCACCATGGGTTGAGATTAACTCAAGTGCCATTAACAGCAACAAAAATGCCAGTACAACATGGCATGATTTTGATATTCAGTGCCTGAACAGACTTCCATTTTGATGGTAATTACGCAGAGAAGTTGGGAAGATACACTATTTTAATCAAGTGCTTCTCCTGGAAAATGATGAGAGAGTTTTTAAAAAATACATATTAACATGAACAGTTTGTTCAATTTGATTATTGTCCCATTTATATAAAAGTAAATTACTGTGCCTGATGCATTCTAGGGGCATTTGTAGTAATTTGTATTTTCTTAAGTGAGATGGAGAATAAAAAAATCAGGTTAGAATTACTCTGTGTGTAATCCTCTATCTTCCAGATGAATATGAAATTAAATCCTGATCAGTGAAAGATTCAGATTTGAATCTATTCAGTTCTCTAGCCTGTGTGACAAGGGGACTTTTTTTAATTTATTTCTTTTCACTTTCTCTCAGCTTGTATCTCTTTCAGGGAGATCAGTTGCAAAAAAAAATTCAGATGATGAACCAGCAGGGGAAATCAAAATTGCTCTTTTCCTTTTATTCAACTAGTGTCTCATGTGAAGGTTCTGTCTGTAGGTCCTCTCTGTAACTGGATTTTCATGCATTTTTATGCCAAATGTAGTTGAGCAGACAGCTCAAGTTTTCCCCAGAGCTATACCTTTAAAATACATTTTTAGACTGTATTTGGCTTCAATTTATATAGACCCCTTTTTAAGAGGAAATGTAACCAATTCACTCCTTTCAACCCAACATCGCATGTGGCACAAAGAAGAGGCTCTGATGCTTCTGCAAAAACTGATCCAATGCAAACACTACTGAAAGAATTTCAGAAACTGAGGACAGAAGTACAGAATGAATTGAAACTTTCCAGAAAAGAAACAAAAGAAGAAATTTTCTGTCCTTTAAGGATAATGCAGTTCTGCCACTTGAAGTGGCTGCCTTATTCTTCCTAATGGTAGGACCAGCTCTGTTCTGATGGTTGTGCTATTTACCTATTGTGAGTGTATGTGCCTTCAAGTTGCTGTTGACTTATGGTGACCCCATTCCTCAGGCAAGGAATACTCAGAGGTGATTTTGTGAGTTCCTGCCTTAAAATCATAGAATTGGAAGGGGCTTCATAGATCATTGAGTCCAAACTGCTGCTCAGTGCAGGATCTCCAGTTCAAGCATCCCCAGCAGGTCTAGCATATTTTGGAAGATGTCCAGAGAAGGAGACCTTGCCACCTGTATCTTCCTTAGGCATAACACCATGTAGTCATCACTATACACGGACACCTACACATACATATTAATTGAGTGGCAATAATACAATTCATCTTTGAAGTAGGATGGTGACATCTTGCCAACCATTTGCACTGAGGAATCTCTTTGGGTTGAGTATTTTGACCTATATTAGTGTGTGCAAAGATCTTAGGGTGTGCACTTCTATATAGCTCATCTGTGGTGTGTAGCTTAGTGGCCAAAGAATCAAGTAGAATTGGATGGAGGTGAATCCACTCTGGTTTTTAATATGAACTTTAATTTAAAGGAGTTATCCAAAGTGCTTAATCTATTTTAGGGACAGACTTCAATCTCTTAAATATCTCCTGTAAATTCCACACTAAAACCTGGAACAGATTCACAATGTACAGAGAATGCTTTGGTCCCTCCCACCCCAGTTGGTAGCAAAAGACATTCCACAATTGCATGCAATGTTCACAGACATACAAGGGATTTTTGAAAGTCCCGGGAATGTGTGTATGCATGGGGGGGGGGGGAGGTAGTAAAAAATCAATGTGGTGTGGAAGGCTGTTTCTCTTCCTTTTAAAAAAATCCCAACACTTCTTGGGCTCATGAAACTACTTCTTCTACTTCCCAACTGGTGTCTTGATCTTAGCCAAGGAAACCTAGGTTCAAATTCCCATGAAGCTTTCATGAGTGATATTTGGCATATTTTTGTCTCTCAATTTGATCTACTTCACAGATTTTGATGGTGTAGAGATAAAGCTCCCACATTGGGACAAAAGTGAAATAAAAATTAAGTAAATAAATAAATATAAAATAATAAATGGAAATAACCCTATGTAGAAAGGGTTCTTTTTTCTTTTTGTACAAGAGAATAATCTTTGCTCTCTTCATATAAGAACTGATGGGAAGAGTTTGGGGACAACCTGCAATGTTTGCCTGCTCTAAGCTACAATGTATTTTTCTTTCTATTAGTCAATTTCTATAGGTTGTGCTGTCTTGTCCAATTTTCCCACATAGATAAGTGGTTAATATGAAGTCTATGTTATTACTTTTGCTTTTCTGCAAACAGGAGACGATTACTATAGATTACTTTATGGCTAGAAAATTGCTCTTCTTTGGTTTTCAGGCAAACCCTGATAAACACATTCTGCTTGTGTCAATGCACATAATTTCCTAGCCCAAACTGAGCTTAAGGTCAGGCCTGCAGAAAGAGGAATGGAATTGTAAAAGCTAAGGGCTTTATTAGTAGAAATTAGGTTACTTGGGTTACTAGTTGAAAGAGCTCACTGGACTTGGACATTTCAGCATATGTAAGTGCTTTAAATCAGTTTCAGCAGCATTTTTCATACATCCTTTGCACTGCCAAATGGCATCCCAGCTGTTCTCCTTTGCTCCCTAATCCCATTGAAAGCATGCCCATCTCTTTTCACATCCGCCCACGCCAACATCCATCTGCTGATGCCTCTAAGAAGCTCTGCTGGACTGTGTCAGGAAGTCTCCGCAATATCCTCCTTTTAGTTTCTTATTTAACTGGGAACATTTTGTTCTTTTTTCTTTTTACACAGTTGACTGGCAAGATGCCCTTTGCTTCTCCATTGAATTTCGAAGAATCTGAGCTATGCAAAACTTAAACATTTGAAAGCTGGGTTGTTTTATTATTCCTCGTGTTTGCAGGGCTTTGTTTACATTAAAATGTGTCTATCTAGCTTTGTAGTTAATAAGGGCACAGGCCTTTAAAGAAAAATATATATAAATTAAACTGAATGGCAATAGGTTAGGAGTTGAACAGCCACTACTGAAAATAAAAGTTATAAAAGAATATAAACTACTCAGAAAAAATTAACTCAGTATAAATAACATAACATTTTCTTGATGCCAATCAGATATTCCTAAAAGGAGGGTCTGCTGGCATGGCACCACAGTAGAAAATGTATTATCACTGTCTGGTAACCAAACTGATATTTGATGATGCAAAATATCTACATTTTGGTCTTTTGATCTGAGTGATTCTATTAAGTAGACTAGGAATGGGCAAATGTGGGAAGCTAGAGGAGACCTTGGAGGGACAGATTTCCCCACCACACTGCCCACATAAAGTCATTTTTTGCCCCAACACCCTCTATGGAATATGTGAGGCATTTTTACCATATCTTACCTGCCTTCCCCCTTATAATATTATTTCCAGTAGAGCCTTTTATTAAATGAGGAATAATTAGAAGAGCAAGCATGGTGCAGTGGTTTGGGTGTAGGACTAGGACTCTGGAGATCAGGGTTCAATTCTCCATTCAGACATGGAAACAGACTGGGTGATCTTGGGCAAGTCACACACTCTCAGCTCCAGAAATTCCCATGATAAGTCTGCCTTAGGGTCACCATATGTCAGAAATGACTTGGAGGCACACAACAATAAAAACAACAACAAGAACAAACAGAAGCCAGAACCAGCATGGTGTAGTGGTTTGAGCATTGGACTATGATTCTGGAGACCAGGGTTCAGATCCCTGCTCAGATATGAAAACCCACTGAGTAGCCTTGGGAAAGGCTCCCTCAGCCTCAGAGGAAGGCACCCTCTGAACAAATCTTGCCAAGAAATCCCCTTGATAGGTTTAAATCAGGGTCACCATAAGTTGAAAACAGCTTGGAGTCATACAACACCAAATCAGAAATCACTCCAATTTTTAAAAAGGCCTCTGCTTGGCCAAAAATGGTCTGGGGGGTCGGGAACATTGCAAAAATGTCCTCATGTCCCCTACAAGGCATTTGGAGGCGAATATTAAAATAATTGATGCCTAGTGGCCCTGAGGGGGGTGTATGCAACCCACAGCTGCATTTTAACCACCCTTAATACAGACCGAGATATAATTTAAGTGAACATAATTTCTGATGATTTGGGATCTTGAAGCAGATTTTTAATGGTCAGAAACATTGCTGTTTTACAGCCCTTCTATCAGTGAATGTATAATTCAACTATTGCATGGATTTCTTCTGCAGTTCCTCATGGCAACTCACAAATTTCCCCCTTTCTAATCTGTTTCATGATAATCTGTTCATTGCTTTATGTCTAGCCCTCCAGCAAACCAGGCCAAAGTCATAACTGAAACATATATGTGTGGTGTTTTTTTTAAAAAAAACTTAACACAGAAATATATGCCTTGCATATTCTAAAATCAAATTAAAAGAGATGCTAAATCCATCCTCATTTACATCAAAGACAAGGCACTCACATTATAATATGCATGTGTATGTGTGCCTGTTCTGCGCCTGCATCTGTCTTTCCAAGACTTGGAAAACTAAGGTTCAAAACATACTGCAGAAGTAATCCAGTTTGAGACTACTTTAACTGCCTTAAGTCATTGCTAGGGAATCCTGAGAATTTTAGTTTATTGTGGCACCAGAGCTTTCCAGAATTCCCTAGCATTGAACCAGGGAAGTTAAAGAGGTCTAAAACTGAATTATTTCTGCAGTGTGTTTTAGACCTTAGTCACCTAATATTTTGTGTCATCAGTTATTTATTTATTTATTTATGGGATTTACATCCTGCCTTTCTCCAAAAATGGGATTTATTTTGTATACTAAAGGGTTCTTAGTACTTTGTTTGCACCTTGGTGTTATTTTGTAAACCTTACATGAGTGTGCACCTTTTGGATACTTTGTTCTAAAATGAATTAGTTATTTGAAACATTTAGCATAACCTTAAATCACTAGGTAGCTAATATCCACTAGCTGCTCTAGAGGCAAAGTTGGGGAGGGAGATCTGGAATGGCCATTTCTCCAGAAGGTATTAAATCAACTTTAAAGAATAGGGGGCATGCTTTTCAAATTTGTAGATGACACCAAATTAGGATGAACAGCTAATACCCCAGAGGACAGGATGAATAATAATAATAATAATAATAATAATAATAATAATAATAATAATAATAATAATTTATTTATTTATAGCCCACCTAATCACAAGGAATCTGGGTGGATTACAGCAATAAAAGTGCATGAAATACAATAAAATTCAAAATTAGTCCCTTCCTAAACCCCCCCCCCCCCACAAAAAGATTTTTAAACAAGGAGATAATTGGTGGATAGAGCAATGTAGATCACCTTGTGTGGGAAGAGGAGTTAAGTTGGGAAGGCCTGACAGAAGATATCCGTCTTAAGAGTCTTTTTAAAGGCTGTAAGAGTAGAGAGGTGACGGATCTCCTCTGGCAGGTCATTCTACAGCTTTGGAGCAGTGGTGGAGAAGGCCCTCTGGCTAACCAAAGTTAGCCTAGATTTTTTTGCCTGTACAGTGGTTCCTCTACTTACGAAATTAATTCACTCCAGCAGCCATTTCTTAAGTAGAGAATTTTGTAAGTAGAAGCAAATT